ATATTTATTAATTTTTAAATAAAGATAAATTATATATATTCAGACGTTAAAAAAAATAAACAGTTTTAATCATTTAGTATTCAGGTCTTAATACACATCTTGATATTCATATGTGTATTCAGATTTAGATGTCTTAATTTTAATACGCATCTTGATATTCAGATTCATACGTCTTAATATTAAAAAAAAATGAATGAGGCATTACTTTATTTCTTTAACTTCGTATCCATTTAAATGACATTAAACCGACAGGGAGTACTTCCTCTTCATTTTATATAAAATTTGATTAAAGGTGAAGTTTAAGTCGTTAAACATATTAAACATAGAAGTTAAAAATTAATTTGGTGGAGAAAATGTTACTTTTAAACTTAAATTAAATTGTTATATAAATCTGAATTTCTTTAAGTTTTGAAATTCAGAAAAAAATTATATGAAACTCCTAGTGACGTCTCTGAAAATTAGATAAGTGTTGTATAAATTGAAATAGAAGGACTAATCTTTATGTTTCCATATGGAGGTATTGCTAATAGTAATACTATGATATAGAATCATTCACATACACTTTTTTTTTTTCTTGCGAGGTAGTGTCACACCGAGATCCACTTTTCTATCCGGTATTGCTATTTGTTGTGACCCGATTAATTCGAATTTGTATCGAAAAGGCTTACTTTGAGGAAAAAAAAGATGTTTTCTATCAGAAGTAACTTCATACTCAAGCTTGAATCCAAAATCTCTATTTTAAAATAGAGAAACACTAACTACTCTACCACGACCTTTGATCGGGCGGAGGTAAAGTGCGGGATATGGGTTCGGCCGAACCCAGTAGCTTTTGTTCAAACCATGTATTTGTTTTAAGAAATCTATTGAATATGTACAACTTATTAATTTAGAACCCAATAACTTAAAATAATTATAATTTCGAATCCATAAATTTTAAATTCTGACTCCGCCTCTTACTTTGATGGTATCGAAATCCATTGCATTGTGCTTCGTAATTCCAATATTGTGAAAGAGGCCAACTTTATGTGAGATGCCAATTCTCACATATCTTGTCCCTTTCCTAGTGTTTTATTATATAAATAAATAATGTAATAGTTATATATGCGTATTCACTATCCTTCTCAGACCTAATTTATAAAATTTTACTGAGTTATTGTTGTTGTAATATAACAATTACTTTTTACAATTGCGATAAGATAGCTCCACAGACGACCTATTAAAATACCTAAATAAAATATAAATCTAATTAGTAAAGCTTTCAATAACAAGTTGTTCGACATGGACAACAAATTATATTAAAGCCTTAAATATATTTAGTTCTTATTTTCTTTGAGGTATAAAATTATATTTCTCGCCGTCACTATGATTAAGTTTTTAGTTAAATATGCCGTTAATGTTGTAGGATTCGTTATTCTATGTGCCTTTGACAAGGACACCCCCTTCAAATACATAGGATTTTGTGTCTTAAGGCATATAAAAAATTTGAGTCTTACTCCCTAACTTTCTTCATCATATACAAAATAGCACATTTCCTTTGGTTGGTGTATACTAAAATCCAGGGTTTGCTAT